CAGCCAAGCTACTAGGAACAAGTGCATCGTTACTAGTAACAAGTGCCTTACTAGTAGTAACAAGAAGCTACTAGTTGGATCCTCTAAGGTATTAAATTAGAATTAGAATTTGGGGTTCAGCCAAGCTTGGAGATGCTAAAACAGTAAGTTCGGTTCATGACACTGTAACTGTAATTCATCGAACTAGGGCTTAACGACAGTTCTCATCGTTGATGGATTTGACTCCGACCCAACTAAGCTTCCCCAGTCTTTGCTTTCACTTCAATGTTGGCTCTTGTAAGGGCAGTACATACAAAGGCAACTCAGCTTTCTACATCAATCGGTTACTATCGGTTGTTGCTCTGGTTTAACCCACATCAACTTCAACACTTGCCCAGTTAACCATAGTCAACCTCCACTTGGCCTCGCCTGTGCCCCCACGCGCGTGAGAGGCTTGGCCCAAACCACGTTCTCCCGCTTTATGAGCTCCTGGACAGTGGCGCATGGTCAGCATTGGTCATTTTTCTTTGACAAATGACCAAATGACAAATTGGATATCAATTGTTTTCGGCAGCGTTAAGGCTGTTCAATTGTTAATAGAATAACTACCTACTACCAACCTCATCCAACCTCCACATACATCCACCAATATATCCACCTCCCTCTCTGGTCTGGCCATCTTGTTCACTCCAGTCACCCGAGTTAGGAGGCACACCTCAAGCTTGCTCATGTCTTTCACTGTGCCAGATTTGCCGGCGTTGACCTGCCATCTTCAGCAGGTTCTTCGATCAATGAGTGCAAGACTAAAGGCAACGCCTCCGCAAGACTCGGTCTTCGCACACTTTTTCTGGTCAATGTTGTATTATTGATGCCTCATCATCTGTGTTGCAACAATCGGCTTCGCCACCGCACCGACGCCAAAAGAAAACAATCAAGCACCCGCCCGACTTTCCACGGTATAGTCCAACCAGAACTTTCCACACGGACATCCAACACTAGTCTGGCATGCATCTGCACACCCCCCCATTACCCTTCACATGCCTCCATAACGGCTTCTCGAAACCTGTCTCGGATCGTACCATACTGGACCCTCAAATGGGTGTTTCTGGCTCTACGTGACGGAATTTCGGCATTTCGGCAATAACGGTGACAGAAAAACGCGGCCATGCTGGACGCGTAAGTGGATATTTTTGGCTCTGCTGACGACGCCATCGGCTAGACTGGTGGCAGAATCGGCGAACGGCTAACAGTCGTGGCCGGCGGCACGTAGCAGTACGCCGTGCCAGAGATGGGTTCCCTAGGCACCTCGGCGAGCTTCGGCGAGTTCCCGTGCCGATCGATGGCCACGGATGAAAGAAAGTTGGGCCCAAATGTGCCTTCAATGGGAAAGCAGCTTGGACAAGCGACTCTGGTCACCACCAGACCCGGTGCCAAAGAACTGAAAGGGTTTTTCGATCTTGAATCTGTTCGAAGGTTTTTGGAGGCCAGCCTTGCCTCACTGCACCCAAGCTTCCCGGCAAAGGGTCTAGAAGGAATGCCCAAAGCACAAAGGAGAGTCTCCTCGAGGCAGTCACGTCGACGTTTTCAACGTCCCTATCGCTTTGCATGTCTGGACTCTGCAAATCCTTAAGTTCAATCAATGACAGCATATGACAGCAGATCTGAGTTCCTAGACATACCTAGGACACGCGACTAATTATCAAGTCAAAGTAACTCTCAGTCAAGACTTTCCACAACCAGCGGCCCCTGCAGAGCGACGGAAATCTTCTGTAACTGTAGGCTACCCGTAACTTTTGCTCATCAGAAGAACTTGTCACTTCCCGTCCTCCACCAGGCAAACGCCCCAGGTTAATCTATTGCATTCATGAACTTGACCTGCAAGCAGCAAAGTTGTCTCAGATCTCTGATCTCTTACGATCGGTTCTCCTGTCCTCTTAACTTTTGAGCTTGACACATAAATAATATGCACCTCCTCAGAAGTGCGGTGTCTTCTTTCCACAACGAGATTGGCCAATCTACTCATTTCGCTGCGTCGAAATCAACATCTGGACACCACAAAACCTCACAGGAACAATTGACACATCCTTTGAAAGGTACCCAGGCGCCTCCGCCCATTCGAGCGTTCACCTGGCGCCAGGCATTCACATCTTTCTTCCCTCGTGACTCGTGGCGCCAAGAAGTCAACTCTCTCTCTCGCTGGAACATGGTGGAACCAATATTGGAAGCAACAACTGCAAACAACTTTAAACAAACAAGGGAAGTAAATACACGCTGCTTGCGGCCGCATGCAACTCGGTTCTTGAACATGGCGGCCACGTTCGGCCGCACATGGCGCAGCTGCCTCGATGAGGTGTGGCCCGTGGGACGTGTACTTGCACCTGACATAGCCAAAGCCATAGCCAACCGGTTTGCCATTGACATACCGCACCACTACTCTTGAGAAGCAAAGTTCAACAACTTTGCGTGCAACTTTGTATGTGCGCCCAGGTGTTCTTTGGAGAACTCTTCCATCCTGACATTTTGGTAGAGAACAAGTACTGCCTGCTTGCTTTTTCTACGTACCCTCCGCCAGTCCGCCGTTGACCGGTGGGCTCCGAGGCATGGGCTCCACATGGAAAACGCCGCAAGTAAAGCCCAAGGCTTTGATGCCTCGGTTCGCGGGCAGCACCACAACACCACCAGATTCTACGAGTTCGGATGTTGGAGGAGCCAAAATGGGCACCATGGTGGTGCTGGCTACATGACCCACAAGATTTGGCTGGCTTAAATGTGGCAGACCCCAAGACACTCAGACAGTCTGTCAGACGGCCTGTCTCTACTTCTGTCCCCATGGATTTCCACATGGTTGACACACTGTTTGATCTTGGGAACGTACGGGGGTAGCACCTTCAATCGATACTGGCTAGGTTTCTAGCCCAGCACTAGAAAAGATTGTAGATGCAATCTAACGAAATAACCAACAGAGTTCTAAATTCTTTAAACCACACTGTCAAATGGCACATATAGGCAATCTTTTTCACTAGCCACACTCTGTGTGCTTCCCATTCTGCAACCACCGGTTCGGACCCCGAGCAATCCACTGCAAGGTCCCTGAGAGACACTTGTTGATCCTGGAGATTGCGACAGCTTCTTGGACAGAAGATCAGGGGAATAATCGAACAATTGTGGTAATGAACTATGGAACAAATTATACAAGTTTAAGCAAATTTATATGGTTATCAGTTGTCACTAATTATCAGAATCTAGTAAGCCCTTAAATGGCAAAAGGCTACAACACCGCAATGCAAGGCCAGCCAATGCTGCACATGGCTTAATTAGCAAGCAGCTCACATGAGAACATGCATCAGAATACTATCCAGCCATCCAGCTGCTAAGTGTTCTACTTCATGGATATTCACGGTACTTTGAACGTAAATACCATGTCCAGCTTTCAAGAGCAGAACCGGTCTGCGGAACTGCTGACCAGAACCTGACACAGACCCAACAGGGCAGTTCAGGGCTGGTGGACAGCCTGCTGCAGCTCGCCTCTCAATTCCTTTAGCTTTTACGAACCGAACGAACGAACACAAGAGATGCACATCATCCGTGCCCTATTCAATAGGGATCCACATACCTTCTGAGAAGGTATGTCGTGGATCCGCAGGTTTTTGTTTTTACTGTAATACTTCTTGCCCGAACGGTGAGCGTTCAATGCTTTGTGATTAGTGCAGCTCTTCAGCGCAGTTTTACTGCTGTTTCGTCAAGTGGTCCAAACAAATCCAAGCAGCAACAGAACCTGAGGAATCTTGTCAATAGCTCAACTATCACGCACCTGCACCGGGATACCCCAATATGGACTGATGATCCTCCTCACGCGCTTCGAAAATTATATATCGAATCATGCATATAGTAGGGCGTTATAAGGTGGCCAAAAGGCAAATATCAAGTAGGACCCAGTAGCTCCTGGCATTACTATATACTAGTAACAAGAAGCTACGAGTTTGCTCAGCCTCTCTTCACAGCGATCCGAACCGATCGGTGTACCGGCCTTTGGGAGCAGCGATGGGCAACACGCCCACGTCCTCGGGAGCGCAGGCGTCGCTGCTTCTGGGCGTCGCGTCGAAAATGCCGGATGGAGCCGGTTGGAAGGGGTGTGCCTCCTTCATAGGAAAGCACATCCGACGAAGAAGCTCGCCTGGTGGCCTGGATACAAGCTGATATTTTCCTCCACACGCTGACACTCTCGGAAATATAACATGGCCCATGTCCTGGTTGCAAAATGGAAATTCGGAATAACCATAAACTAACCTAACCAACTCAGGACAAACATTGATATACCAAAACATACAACTTACAGCACCAAAGGATTATCCAAGGTATGCTGCACACAGTTTTGGGATTCCAAAAAACATAGGCCACGGCATTTTCACAACGCCGACAATGTTGCACAAATGCTGGAGGTCCGTTGCTTTTCCTGGAGAAAATATGAGAAAACACCTCACCTCTTTCACCCACCTTCAGTTCGGAAGCCACAACTCAGAATTGGTCCAGAGGCCATTCGGGTCCTCAGTTTGAGGGGTTTCTATTGGGACTTCCTGACATGAACACCTCTTCCTTCACCAGGACAGAGCATGCAAAAACCATCAAAAAGATTCAAAAAGCTCTTCCGTCACCCTCCATCACCCACCAAGTAACCCGTCCCCTCCAGAACGACTCGGAGGTCCGAAGAACGTCGTTGGGCCACCCGGGCTCGTTGAAGTATGGCTCCAGAGTCGGCCCATTGTCTGAGACACAGGCATAGCGATATTCGCCTGGCGCAGGCGTCGCATCCAAATGAGATTCGTGTCCTCACCCCAGAGTGAAGAGATTCGACGTTAAAACGATCTCAGCATCCGTTCCCCCCCCTTGCGATCAACATATTCTTGCGCAGGATGAGTCTATAGAACCCCCAGCCTTTCTGTCTTTCAATTAATGTTAAACCAGTGATGTGCAGCTTTGGGGGGCCATCTGGGCTCCAGCCAAACGCTGCCACGCGCAGTCCCTTTTTTTGCGCGCTAGCTACATGTCTTTGTCTGGGGATGGTCCAAACGCTCAGCACCGTGTCTCAGTACTTTGCCAAGATAAAGGAGCCTGACAACCTCAACTTGGAAAGGTCATATAACAAAGTGACATCGGCGCAAACTAAGGTTCTCCCTTCAATAAAATTACGTTCATTCAGGAATACCTGTCCCAAAGAACTTGCTCCTTATCAAAACCACGGTGGTTGCATCTTTCGCAGCTCTGCACTGGGTAGCACAGCACACGGAAAGGAACTGCAGCCGAGTTGCAAAACGCCCAGGCAGGACCTCACAAAACTCACGCGTTCCCACTGGGTAGATGGAAAACCTTTATAAACCCCGAGGTCCAGGAACCTCGTGCTTTCCGTCCAGGAGTCATCCAGTTTCCAGTTTCCATGGAACGTGAGTTGGAGGCAATCACGGCTGCTGTATAAAATTATATGCCAAGCCACATGAGAGTCAGCAGCCCGAACGGCATGAACTTCCTGAACATTGAGGATTCTCGAAGCTCGTCATTTCTACGATTCTTGAAGCTTCGTCCACTTGCAGTTCGAAGCTGATCAAAACACATGGACAAAACCCGCCACATAATTACCCCTAAGCATCCCCAACTTTGTCAGGAAACCCAGGTGAGTGCTGCTTTTTTGGGTGCATGAAAGTATACACTGGGGAGCATGTATACGCGAGCGCCTACGCCAGGGGTCAAAAGTGTGTGCGGTAGCCTGCGCGAGTGTCTTCCAGTGAGGGCTTTGTCGAGGCATCTACGAGGTCGACTCTGCGAGGCCTTTCACACGACTAAGATCAAATGCAGAAGATGAACGTGAAGAAGACGAGCTTGACCTTCCTGAACGCTGACCTTCGGAAGATGTGCAAATGTGTGGGAGCTCTGGCCTCGGAACTGGCCACTTAGGTCAGACTTAGGTAGTACCTTCTGGGAGCTGTCGCCTCACAACTAGCCACTTGGTAGTACAAATGCAGTGCGGGAAGCAGCTTCTGGGAGCGTCAGAACTGACCACTTTGTAGTACATAAATGTAGTATGGGAAGCAGTTTCTAGGACCTTTTGATACTGAGAAGGCTCTTTGCAGTACTTGGGCGTGAAGTCGTTCCATGTCTTCACGGCGCGACTCATACAAACAGAAACGAACATGACGACTACATGCTGTCTGTTTGGTTGCTAAAACGGCTCAAATGGATTAAGCCATTATTAAGCCTGAAGCACGGCAATGGACCAACCCCTTCCAAACCAAGTCGCGGCCTATACGAGCATCTACGCGAGGCCTACGAGGGTTTTGACTGACTCCTGTCACACTTTTCTACAGTTGTGCAGGTACTGTACACACATTCCCGTATATGAGTGCCCACGGAAGTTTTGCTCAGCAGGGCGCACTGAACAGGTTAGCTCAACTTCACAACTTCAAACTCAACCCTCAAGGATGCAAGGCTGTCTGTCTTCACAAAGCTAACCCCACTGCAACAAGGCATGCAACGCCCCATATTTCACAACTACCTCATATTCCTCAAGAGCTACTTCCTGAAACTTCTCAACAACTACTCCACACAGCCACCAAGCAAGTCAACTGAAGAATGCATGGTCAAATTGTTCTTTCCATCATGTGTTCAAGGTTATTGGACTCCTTCCGAGCAACTAACAACTATGCAAGCCTGCCTACGGGAGACACTGCTATGCTTTCCTACGCGGTTGCCTACGCAAACTTGCGCCCCCAAGCAGAACAGCCTACGCAGCATCAAGAGAAGTTCCACTTTTGTATAAAGTATAAACTCCTTCATAGACAAAAAAAACAAAATACTACTCAGGTGATCTCATGTACGTCACGGTGTCCAGCCCGCCGAGCACTGGAAGCATGGTGCCAAGCGTCTTGCCACTGGGAGCACCTGATAGGGGTTCTTCCAGCTGACCTCCACTGGCGCTGTACTTCCTCTGAAACATCATAGACCTTGAGATCCAATTGGAAACAAGCAACGAGGGTTTTTCTGAGTTGAACCAAAACGTGATACAGCTATGTTAAGAAAAATGATGAGAAAGGTCATAAAAATCAGCTTCGGAAGGTATTTTGACATAGGATGGGATATGAGATGCAACTGTTCAAAGCCTCAATGGCAAGTCACGTGCGAAATAAGGAGAAATAACAAAGACATAGAAAAAATAATCATACAAACACATTACATCACTATATCAATGTCACATGCGAATATGGGAACATATTAAAAATTGTCTAATTTTTAGAACCTGTGTTTGCTTGGGCAAAATGCAAGTGATTGTCTCAAACACAATATACTGCACGCTTGCTCTCGTCCAGCGACTCATCTTGATTGCTGGCTTTGGGGGGCATTAAAACCATGACAGCGAGCTACTCCAAATGCTCTGAATCATCACTAGCCAAGCATCACAAGGGCATAAAGCAGCACTTGCAACAGTTGGCCCTGGAATTTTGACACCTTGGGCGTAGAAGAAGACACGCCGAGTGTCTTGGTCGTGTCAGTTGGCGGCACATGCAAGTTGTTCTCTGTTAGGAGTGCGAACAACATTACATACCTATCATATCCTATCATAACCTAGCTTTCAATGTCCAAGCTTAAGTCGCACATCCTCATTGTGTTGCTTTCTCAAACCTCCTTCATCGTGCTCAGTGTATAGTGTGAGGTCCAGTCCAGTCCAGCAGTAAGGTTCGACTGACTGACGCCCTGATACTCTACGATTGCTTCTACCCTGATCAATCCCTTCAACTTCTCTGTATTGTATTCCTCCATTCTCTCGCCTCGAGCGTCACATAGTCCAGTGCCAAGATGCCACACGCCACACAGCTGCTGGCCTGACCGACAGGCCGAGGAGGGCGTCGCGTCGGGAACGCTATGCCGAAGGACGCCGAAGGACGCCGAAAGGGATGGGGAAGGAGTGTCAGTCCAAACGTGGGTTTAAGGCGCCCGTTTGCTTCGTGAAAGAACCGGAGCAGGGAGTCTTTGCCATATTTTGCCATGCTGTTCACAGCTGCCGCTACACGAACGCGCGCTGCGTGGAACCTGCATGCTTCCGCGTAAGCTGTACTTCAGTAGACACCCCGCAGCTGTACTGGCGAGAAAGCTGCTCTAAATGTGGCTGTCTCATTGTAGGCTAGGTCACCCACATCACCCACACCCTTCAGATCGTGGATTTCTTGGATTGCGCTCCACGAAACAACACCCACACACACTGGATCTCAAGGAGTCATGTCCCTCTTGGTGCCGCGAGTGAGGCTTCGTCGGTTCCATGTGGATGTGTATTTTAATGGGAGACACCCCTAACCAATGGGTCTTGGTCTCTTCCGGGGAGTATTTGGGGGTCTCCCTAATTTAAGTACACATCCATGTGGAACCACAAACTGCTTTGGTGCCCAGGCACAATCAGCGAGGCCTTGCTTTTGGCCTTGACGAAGCCCATCACGCCCCCCAGAAAGACGGTGGCCGCCAGCCTGGGCAGCCACTGTGCCACGTTCCGTGGAGGATGAAACTTAAACATAAGAACTGGTGAGTGATCTATCCAATGAAAGGAATGTCTGCAATGTCCATTGGGGGTAAGGAAGCTGCATCTGTCTCCCAGCCAAGCTGCACATAAGAATAGATCAGCGAAATTTTCAGCAGTTGCTCTGTATCCATCGACATGAGGTGAGCACGCGTTGGCGCGCCCAACGCGCGGAACGGCGTTCCCAGCGGCGTTCCCCGAGGTTCTCCGATGGCCGAACCCCTCGAGCTGCAAATGGCTCGTGCCACATCCGCAAGGCGAGGTAGTGGGACAGAGTGGAGGACGTACTCAGATCAAAAGAACAACGGACCAGGGTGACCAACACTAATTAAAACATGAAATTAAAATCTTACATATTACATTAGTATACTAAATTAACATTAATTACATGATATTACATCTGAGAGCCTCACCTTCCCACAAAGCGTCATGACGTTGAATCCAAGATGATCCAAGTGTCGACGAAACAAAGACCTGTTTTCCATGATGACGATGATTGATGGTTTGGATTAAGGTCCACTATGGTCCACTCCTGTGAACATCCTCCTCAAATCTCTCAAAAGACTGGGCATCATTGTTGTCATGGTCCTCTCGATCTCAAATCCACCATTCGTGAACGCTTCTTCGACGTCCCAAGCGACCACCCCGCGCGCCGTCGGACATCACCACCTCAGTTTGGGGCCGAATCGATGGCAAGCCGTTGGTTGATTTGTATTGATGTGTTTCCTCTTGGGGACCGACTTATGCAGAACAGCAGCCACAGTGCAACCACTACAGCCCGAATGAAGGCAAGTGAAAGTGGCTAGAAACGAAATTATAGTGAATATGAGCGAATGATAGCGAATGCATCCTCTACGAAATTGCCAAAGTGGGGTCGTGAACCAATTTTATACAGATTTCATTGTATAGAATCCAAATTTGACTGTACAGAATCAGATGTACGGCCCGATTTTCTTAGAGAGTGATGTTAGTACAAAATGGGATCGCGGCCCCACTTGGGGCCCTTGTACAGAATTGAAGCTTGAATAGATCTTGACAAATTTGATGCTTGGGAAATGTACAAAATCGCAAACCAATCAAAGCTCAAGCACTGCCAATCACAAGTATGTCTTGTACAAATTGCTCCTAGGGGGCAGTCAGCTCCTGATTTATACATTCCTTTTGCTTTACCACATTCGTTTTTGCAAACACCCCTGTTGTACAAATCATGATTTTATACAGAGCTCGTGCTCGTGGATTCTGTTCATGATATTCGAACAGGGATGCGAATGCGACATCTCTCAAACTTCTACACGGCGACGCCACGGCCCTCAGATCATGCCGACCGATGGTCGCGCCGAGCCGCGTCTACATCCACCTCGGGACCGTCGAGAAACTGCTCCATGAGCACCGTCAAGTCCACGCCAGACTGCGGTCGGTGACCAAGACCGGTCGAAGCGGTCAGTGGACACACACCGCGAGTTTTTCATGAAATCCAGGATACTATCCAGGATGATCCAGTGATCCCCCCTCCCCGACTGCTTCACTCTGAGGATTCGGAGAGGTCAGAAAGATTAAGAAAGCATAAATTAGACAATGCACAAACAATCCAACAATCGACTAGAAACCCAGAAGCAAATAATTCATCCATATTAATGTTTTCCGGTTGTTGGTGCAATTCCATGCCACCCTGGTAGGTCCCCCATGGTCTCCCCTACCCTCCTCCAGAGAAAAAGGACTGACCGCACTGGCCTCCATGGCGTTCTGGCCCGAAGTCTTGTTGTCGGGGCTTCCTCCATGGCGTTCGATGACCCCACGACGGGTTTCTCCCGTCCCCGTCCCAACCGTCCCAACGAATTCGTGCCATGACGAATCCCTGCCAAACCTGTGACTCTGGCACTCCTCTTCGAAGACATAGCCATAAGCTGCAAAAAGAACAACTGATTCTTGTAGGAATTTACAGGTACCGTTGGCACAAAAAGGAGTATTCAGTGTTTGCCACTCCAATGGTTCTAACATGTTCAACACATATATATATATATATATCACACAAAGCAAGTCATAACCATTCAATCACTGAGACACTGAGAGACTTTTTTCCGAGAATCCTCGGATCAAACCGAATCGGGTGCCGAGTGATGGGTCGAGGTATCCGGCACGTCGAATCAACATCCCATGCCACAGATTCCGTGATGTTCGTTGAGCTCTGCAACATATTTATGATCCATTATGATCCTAACCCCCAGTGTGGTGCTCAGTTGCTGAGTACAGACCGATAGGCCGATAGGTTTTGGTGCACGCACGTCTGCTTAAGCTGCTTGGTTTTTGACTATCCTGAGATTAAGGCAGTCATGGACAATACTGGACTACCAGGTGGTAGATGGCAGTGCAGCTGTGCGCGCAAGAAAAACTCATGGGTGCGACATGGCACGAAACAGCCGCAATCCACCCCCAGACCGATCATATATACCAGGACCATCCGACCATCTGGGTGTCCGGACACTGGATCGGACTACCCAACATTCCCATCCAGATCTCCAGCCAGGACACCCAAATGGTCGGATGGTCCAGGTAGTTCGTAGATAGTCTAATAGATATGTTCTTAGATATATCCGCCGACCCCACACCGTGGGGTGAGGCGTGACTGTCGATGTTAGCCTTAGCCTTAAGCCTGAGCCTTAGCCTTAGCCTTAGATTATAGCCTTATCCTTAGACTTAGCCTTATCCTTAGCCTTAGACCTAGTCCTTAGCCTTAGACCTAGACCTTACCTCCCCTACCCCTCCGGACCCTTGTTGCAGTGACAAAAGTGCGACGTGATTGCTACCAAAGTGCGACCTGATTGCGACGTGATGGCGACCTGCGTTGTCCAAGATTCTGCCATCCCAATTGATTTACATCTTGGGACACCCTCTCCACCCGCGCGGGAAAATAAGCACGGTCCAAAATGGTCCCGGGCTCGAATCCCGGGCTGGTCGCGGCGTGGTCCCGGCCAATGCCCTTGCTTTTTCGTAGATTTTGTCACGTTTTCTGTTGGATTTGTGGGATTGGGCTTTTCCAGCATTTTCCTAGGAATGCTCTAGGCTTTGTCTAGATTTTGTTACGTTTTCGGCTGGATGCTTTTCCAAGAATTTTCTAGCGCTTCCTCTTGTTTTTAGGTTCCCAGATTTCC